TTGTGTATGTCCGACTCTCCTTTTCACTGTTTCTTCTCTATTCCCAGCATACCCCTGTCTCTCTGTCTGGCATGGAACAATAATCTTAACATCATTTGTTTCACTTTTGCTTTCTCTCGCTGCGGTTTGTATTGTTAGATCTGTATTTTATCTATATTCTTACTTTGTATGGAGCACTCTCATCAGAGATACTTAAGAATGAACTTCCTGTCTGTGAGTCATTTCCCTGTATCTGTGTCATGGATTTTTCCACAACTGTACCCCTATTATGAGACTATTAGTAGGTCTGAGTCTGTTAACTTTAAATATCAAAAATTAACATGAACCCAGGCTTGCATCAGAGTAACCATGGTAACATTTTGACCAATATTTTACCAGCCACATATCTTCAAAACGTTCTGATGCTAAAAATCTGAGGAAAATTCACTTTGTCTGCGAGCAATTTGTAAGGTAGGGTGTTAACATTTGGCAAAGTGTGACAAACGTTCACATCGCATTCACAATCAAACTTACTATTTGTAATGCTGAAGATGTTTGTTGACTGTAAATATCTAATGTTAGTATAACGTGTCATACCATTAGGGCCAATTGTAATTGGCTATCTTTACTTATGAACCTATATCTGCTGATGTTTTATTTTCACTTCTTGAGTCTACGTCCTCTGTGTGGCCAGGTGGATGCAAAGTTCAGAGACTTTCTTATTCCAGGGAAGTTGAGTAACACTGAGTCAGAAACGAGGGGGAATAGGGGGGGTTGGTATCGCTGTGTAAGGAGGAGTGGCAGCTCTGCATTAGTTTCTCTTTAACCGCAGCTTAACCGCTCCCCCGTCATTCCACCTCCCCTCCATTTTTCACTCGAGTTAGTTGAGGTTAGCACTCTCCCCCTTTAGGCTCAGGGTGGGAGTCACCGTGTTTGTCCACTTTGAATTTAATTTGGCCTTGTTGTAGTGTGAGACTAATCCTGTTGCATTCAGTTGTGAGTTTGCTGCATTTTGTTTGTCATTTTGAGCATTCATTTACCCAGTGTTGATAGTTTTACTCACTCTCTCTGGCCTTGGTCTGTTGGTGTAATAGGTAGACAATTGTGTCTCCAACAGTTGACCTTTGACCTTGGCTAGGTTCAACTACTATGACCCCTCTTTTAAGTGGTGAGAGATGCTGCATGTTTGTTCCCTGTGTGGGGAAATGCTCTCAGTCTGACTCTTTGACTGATGACCTTGGAGTAAAAAGGTCAATCAGCCTCAAGTAGCTTCCTGAATTCTAGGTGTAGTGGTTTCACACTATTTTCCAGCCGTTCTCGTCTGACTTGAAGACTACAAATATATACATTTAAAGAACGAATACCTAGCTCCTGAATTACACAACAACATACTGTATTCAGAACACGGTCATAAGCAGGTTTTTATAACTTTAGAGGTTCCTTTGTAAAGAATAACTTCTCACAGCCAGAAACATGCAAATGAAATCAATTGGTAAAGGGTTACACGAAGAGTGACAACCTTGTAATTGTATCAAATAATTTGCTGTGAAAAGTCTGGTAATGACAGCAACCACACAGAGGACAGATGTTTGTGTGCATATGTGGCTGTGTTTTGCAGTCCAAACACTAATAGTATTTGTAGTAAACTGTTAAAAAAACATCAACTTCTTGTGCAACAATATAGAACTACATCCAGCAACATTTAGCATCCTTTCTTAGCTAATGCCGTTGTTGAGAATGACCTAGGATTGTTCATTTGCATGTTTATTCTACTTATTTAACCTGGCAATTCTATTGCCAAAGTAAACTCTGAAAGAAATGGTTTCACTTAACTTTGCTTCTTATGGGAATCTTCCCTCAGTGTAAGTATACTGTAGTTGTTTATATATATCAGCCTGCATTCCTAACCTTAAATAGGAGTTCACAGGAGAGTGCTAGGCCTTGACCTTCTGTGGAAATGTATGGAGGGAAGAAGTGAGAATGTCTCCAAATAATGGGCTTTTTGTCATCAGTCACTCACCTACAGCCCCGGTCTGTGTTACTTCTACGGACAATTACAATGCAGATTGTCTTTCACGTGATAACATCACCAGTTTATATTTCAGTCAAATAAGCAGGAGTCCTATGTCTAGATTTAAAGAAATGTGTGCACATAACAGAGCAGATTCACCACAATATGCAAGTATCTTGTGTTACATGTATTACATGTAAAGTGTATGTAGTAAATAAAACTTGTTTTAATTCAGCACATAAACTTAAAAACACTTTGAAGGCTTTGAATACGCTCGAGAGAGAGAGGCTTTTGATGATCAAACAAATGTTACTAAACAGGTAGTGATGTCAAGTCTTTTCGTATTTTGATAGAGACATTTTGCCACTTTGCAATGAATTGTGGAGTTATTGAGGGCTATGTTCAGTCAGGACTATTTATGATCTCTGCGTAACTTGTGGTAGTAGACAACAACAATCTTAGAAAGTCGTACAAATGAGAAGAAACACTTTTTGATATTTAAATGTTGGCAGTGCACCACTACTTATGTAAGCTTCTTAGCGTATTATTTAAGGTTTCTGTGTTACATATTGATGTTTTCCAGTCACTTGGAAATAAATGAGTTTAAATCATGGAACAATTCCTGTTCTCTGATGGACTAGGGCTTGCCTCATTCAGAGGAATGAAGGATGACATCACTCCTGGAGCAGAGGGGAGTTACTCCCTGGCTTCCCTCACACCTCTCCCCCTCCCTCTGTTTCTCCTCTTATTCTCCCTCTCAAACTACTTTCTACCTCAAGTTTCCCCGCACATTCTCCTTCCTTGAACTCTATGTCACCCTCCCTTACTGTGCTCTGTGTGCTGAGCATTAGGACATCCCGCCCACCTTGACCCCCTTTATGTCACCTAGTGTCATTACCTGACATGGATCCAAAGAGTTTTTCTAAAAGAAAGTGAGTGTTTTTGTTAAAGACAAATCTTTTCGAAAGTCAAAAGGAGTGGGCAAATTGTGTAGGAGTTTACATTTGTACTGTTTTGGTTATTTCCAGGATTTCTGAGCAGTCAGATTCACATTTTTTGGTTTGTTAGATCCAGCGTTGGGGTGGTTCTTCTTTCCTTTGTTTTCCAAGGAGAAAATGTTAAAATTGAGAAAAATGTTGACCAACCAAGCCTGCATAAACTGATCCAACAATATAAAACTTCAATGGCCAAACTATGATTTGTCTTAACTCACATGCTCATTCTTCCAATGAGTAGACATCCATAGTATTCTATAGTGTGTGTGTGTGTGTGTGTGTGTGTGTGTGTGTGTGTGGGTTGTGTGGGTGTGTGTGTGTGTGTGTGTGGTGTTGTGTGTGTGTGTGTGTGTGTGTGTGTGTGTGTGTGTGTGTGTGTGTGTGTGTGTGTGTGTGTGTGTGTGTGTGTGTGTGTGTGTGGTGTGTGTGGGTGTGTGTGTGTGTGTGTGTGTGTGTGTGTGTGTGTGTGTGTGTGTGTGTGTGTGTGTGTGTGTGTGTGTGTGTGTGTGTGGTGTGTGTGTGTGTGTGTGTGTGTGTGTCGTGTGTGTGTGTGTGTGTGTGTGTGTGTGTGTGTGTGTGTGTGTGTGTGTGTGTGTGTGGTGTGTGTGTGTGTGTGTGTGTGTGTGTGTGTGTGTGTGTGTGTGTGTGTGTGTGTGTGTGTGTGTGTGTGTGTGTGTGCCCGTTCCATGCTGTGAGTATCTTATCCCTCTATCCTGGTCACCTTTCACGGGATGACATAAATGTGAACCTTGTTTGGAAGGCTTCAGGGTCTGTGGTCGTCCATCTGCCCTCTCAGAGCTGCAGCTGTCCACTCCACAGGGCAGAGTGAGCTGTACATCACCACAAAGTAGACTGTGACATTGGGATATCTTTGGACAGCTAGCAGATGTATGTTCTAATTTCACCTCATATGTCGGATTTAGAGATCCTTGTCAGTTAAAAGTGACTTTGGTGGACAATTCATACATGCACATCTCCCATACAGGGAGTAGAGCCGACCTGCGTCCTGCCTTATTTGTGTGAATGTCCAAAGCAGTCGCCCTGACCGCTTGGTATCTATAGCCGTGGTCCCAGATGAGAGGAATGGGCACTGACTCGGACAACAATAGAGTTCCATGAACTCCAAGATATGTATAGAGCTGCCCGGCCAGCATAAGTAACCCACAGAGCTGTCTGTTTTAAGAAAGAGCTAATTAGAAGTATGACGCTGCAGTGGGCCTGACATCATCTTTGTGTCTTCTATTTTTTACCATTGGCTAATCCATCTCTCCATCTATCAATTACATTCTCCTTTGCTACTACCTTGAATATCAAAAAGCTCAAATCTAAGATTATGTATCCTGGTCAGTCAAGGTCACACATGAGTGGGGCAGGGATGACGTATTTTTGAAAACCCGCCCAGTTTTTTTCTTTTGGAATTTTACAGAAAATAAGCTCTTATGCAAACACACGTTTATGATACTTACACGTTTTGTTTTGGCGGGAAAATGTCTACATAGTAGTACTGCTTTTGTCATTTTTGTAGCTCCATAAGTAAAAAGCTAACATTAGGATAAAACAAACTACATCAAGGATAGCTTCATGTCAGTAACGCTAAGCTAAAAGCAAACTTATTCTTTACGTGTTGTTGTTTAGTAGTTTTATTTAACCACGTTTTTAAATAACTTAAAACTTTCAGAAATTCACGAGTGGGGTATCTACTCACATATTTTATGTTGTTAAACAAAACTTTGAAATGTATAAGTTTGTGTTAACCAAATACCTTGTTTCAGGCAAACCTTAATACCATTCCAAAAACCATTGACTTTGAGACAAGGGAACCAGAAGTGCTAAAATGTTCATTCATTTAGGAGTTTCAGGACGCATTCCTGCACCACTCTGACAACATAAGGAAAGCCTGACTTAAATTCATACACTTTACAGTGATACACTGCCAAATGTGACTTTCTTTTAAGCACTGATAACATGTGTTTTATTGGTTGTTAATACCAATTGTGTTCTGTCCCCTCCTTCAGGAGTGATTAGCCAATGGCAAGGAGAGTCGAAGGAGCGTGTCATCTCGCTCGTCCTCACCCACCTCCCGCTGCTCAAACCAGGCAACGTCGAAGCCAAGGGCGAGTACATGCGCCTGCTGCCACGCATCCTGGCCCACACCATCGAGCATGGCCGCCACCTGGAGGAGTCCCGCCAGCTCCTGTCCTACGCCCTCATCCACCCCGCCACCTCCCTGGAGGACCGCTCAGCCCTGGCACTGTGGCTCAACCACCTGGAGGAGAGGGCCGCTGCCCGGGGAGACTCACTGGAAAGGCCTCCACCTTCGGGACCACACCACCACCACCACCAGTCCACGCCTCCATCCACCCTCTCATCAACAGGATCCTCCTCCTCCACCAACACCTCTTCATCAGGCAACCTCTACTCCTTGCATCACCACCAGCGCTACGGCTCGGACGACCGCCTCAACGGCTGGCAGAGCTCCAGGGATTCAGGGCTGGGCGGAGGCTGGCATCAGCAGCAGCAGGGCTGTGAGAACGGGCACCTCCTTCTCTACCCATCATCCTCTGTGCCCACAACCATCAACACAGTTGGAACTGGTGGAGGTGGTACCACTGGTAAGAAAAGTATTTTCCTCTATGCCTTCTACTGTATAAGCCCATTTTCCCACAACCTTTCAATAAATCATGAAATGATCAAAACAGACACATAAAAGGTTGACATGTAAGTATTTTTGCGATTAAGGATATTCTTAAAAAATGATAAAATAGGTATACTAAGTTAACATAGAATAGCAGCAAAATAAGTAAAATAGTGTTATGTGTCAGCCTAAACAAAACAGTTTGCCTTTTAATATTCAAAAACTAAAAACATCTGTAAAAGCTTTAGTTTGTATAGAACATCAGTATAACTTACAGCAGACTTACAGAGATTCAGATTTTCTATCAAAATATAAATGGTAGTCTCCAAAATAATCTAACCTTAAATCCTTAATGCTCATCTTAACAGTTACCAACTACAACAAAGTAAGCTTCTTTTAACTTCACAATATAATATGTATCCACACCCAGACCTATATTTATTTTGTTGACAGGCTGTGAAAGGCTCAAAAAGACGTTTTCTCCAGTGCTTCACCATCAAGAGTGTATTTTGTTCAGGTCTCCTCTTTTACCCTCTCTCACCCTCTCTCTTCCTGTCCGTGTTTTGAGGATTCTTTGAATCATTTCATTATAAGAGACAAGGAACCAGAAAGTCCCACTGGGTTAGTCCACTGTTATCATTGTCATTCACAAATGACAAAACCATATAGATACAACACAGAAACACCTTGGCTCTTACATCTGCTTAAGTTTAGATTCCTTAGTCACAGGTTTAGACTATACCATAATATTTACTCTCTCTTTAGTGATCGACATTTTATGCAGGTCTTTTTTTATTTGATTGCCCCACTTTACAGACGTTCTTAAATACTCTACTTACTTTCACATAGTATCATCTTTTCTACACAAAATAACTTTTATTGTAATTTTTTGTCTTCAGACATTTTTTCTGTGTAGTTTGGCTGTGATTTTGGCTACACACACACCATCTTTAAAAAAAAAAACCTTGATTGAAAAAGCACAAGTTATTTTAAAATGATTGTATTTTATCTACTTCAGTTGCTTTGATTACCTTGTGTTTTCTGACGTGAAATAGGCTACTTTCCACCACAGACTCTCTAAATGCAAGGTGGGTCTAACCCACTTCACCATCAGAGAACACCTCAGTGCTTACAGCCACGTACTCTGGGCTGGCCTGATGAAAGCTTCTCTGTCCGGGGTGGCCACCTGATTACCCCCGCCCCGAATACATCACACTAGGGTCTCTAAGCTTCTCTGCTGTATTTAAAATCATAGCAATCTAATTTGTCATGCTTGATTCGATAATTATAATAATTGTAAGACAGCACAACAACACCTTTTAAATTGAGCTCAATTGCTGATTCCATTAACGTTCAATTTAAGACACAAGGTGCAGTACAAACTTACCAAACCGGCTAAATACATTTAAAACACACTAAATAGAATCTGCACATGAAATAGCCTTCACTCGGAACACCTAATAAGACATCACCTACAGAGGGCTGTACGAGCTGGATCACAAAACATATAGAGGGCAGGCTGTTGAAATTGAACATAACTATGGTCAGAGCAAGATATTTCCAGACAAGAATGCAAGGGCTCTGTGTTTTTTTCTTCTGGGAGATGAAAGAAACAGCTGAGGGTTTATAAATAAAGGCACATTTAAAGCCCTGCTCACTGCTCCAAGAAAGACCCTCTTGTATTTCTGACTGCTAGCAGCTTCAGTCCCACACACAAGACCTCAGGATTTCACAATGGATAAACTAGAGTTACCCCAGCACAGGACTGCTGGACACAGTGAGCAGAGGCTAATCAACATGAGTGTTGGATTACCTAGAACTGGAGTTAACCTGTGGACATGTAGTCTAATGTAGATCAAAGCATCTACAACAAAGCCATGAATACAGTTATCATTCAATTCATAAATATACAACATAGAAACAATTCCTATCAGTCCTGATGGAGATTACAGGGGTATGATGGTCCAGCTACGTCAACCTGTATGCTACTGACACCACATCCTGTTGACCCCCCACCCATACTCTCAACCGTAGCCCAAGCCCCAGCAGCACACCCATCCTTTCCCTTGTAAGGCAGCCTTTGTGGGAGACTGTATTTAGGGAAAATGGCTAATATTTAGGGACTGGAACTTGTAATGTTAGCTGGGCACCTATTTTAAACAGGGCCCATGAAGTCCTATACATAGCGCTAACAGTAAGAGCACCGCATATAGGACGAGGAGGAGAGAGCCTGGAGTATTGGTGGCACTTTACCCCGTCAGAGCGGCGGCACAAAAAGCTCCCTGGCTCTCCACCTTTTCTTTCTGTTTACTTCCCTCAGCAGCAATCATCAGGGATGTTAGCTGCTTTTATTGGGTTTTAAATATTGGGATTTCAGTAGCTACCTTGGTTTAGGCCTTCGTCGTTAACCCTTGGGTGCATAGATTTAAATGATTGAAGAAGATGAAGAAAGAAAAGAGGAAGATTTGTCATTATGATACATGTGTTTGAGAGTTGGTTAAGTCAGGATGTCAGCAGGTGCAGACATCCGGAGAGTTTTGCGTGTCCCCTGATGTAGCGTCCTCCCTCCAGCTGTCTCTATTCAACTCAAAAACAAATCTAGGTTTATATTTAATATCAGAGCTACTTTTAAAAGTGAAGTTGTAGGGATCTAATGTCAGTCATGGAAAATCAACTACAGTATAGTACTGTATGCAGTTACCATATGCGTGGCAACAAAATGTGATTTTACCTGCTCTACAAAAGACTGGCATAGTTAGGAGGATGAGCAATTCTACAAAGTAAATTAATGTTAACCAAAGGGTGTAATTCTTTTTCAAACCAACACTTTCCCACTTTTATATTATTTTCTATCTAAAAGTACAAATTCATCAAAGACATCCGAGTCATGCTGGACATTTGTATCTGATTAGAGAGACTTAGATATACTTTGTAAAAGGTAGATGACATACTAAACAATGTATTAATCCTCCTTCATGGTCAGACCCTGGACTGAACAAATGATTTGATATACTTTATTTACATTACACTCCCAATGTGATACTTCCTGTCGTTGGTGCTAAATTGTTTTACTCAACGTGTGCTCGTTGTCCCCAAATGTACTTTGTGTGATGTGAGGCTCTGGCAAAGAACAATTGTTAACATTAATATAATATTTTAACTAACTCAAATTGACACTATGTTGTGTACAAAAGATGTAGGGATGCCCAAATTGTTCTCCATATTTAGTAAAAATAGGCAATCTGGATATCGGCATTAATGCTTTTTCTATTCCTAAATCCCTGCCATTATTAAACTGTCTCAATGTTGAGACATTTACAAGAAGAGCTAGTTACCGGTAGCTAACATTAATATTAAGTTCAAGCATTATTCGGTAAAAAATTGACAGGGCTAAGTTACGTTTTAAAGTTATCATGATGTGTTGAAATGTAATTTTGTAAAAATGTCGTTTTGGCCAGAAACTTACTGTTAGTGAGTTAGGGTTATCAATACAGTTGTTTAAAGATATCTTCAGATGAATACAATATAAACTTGAGAAAAAGGGAATAATGACAAACCAGACAAATTTACTTAATATGTAAAGTGTTATTAAATACATGATTGAGTCAACAGCGTGTTTTTTCCAGTAGGATATCTTCAGTCTTAGCCAAGCTCTGTTTCTCAGCCTGCACCCACCTGACTAGCCTTATTGTTGTGTTGTAGTCCTGACGAGTGGAGGTGGCAGCCAGCAGCACAGTCCCCTGAAGCGCTCCGTGTCCCTCACCCCTCCCATGAGCGGCCCCAGCAACCAGCCTCTGGGTCACGTCTGGCTGTCCCAAGAGGACCTACGTTCTGCCAGAGGCCCCGCCCCAGACCACGCACCTCTCTCCCCCCAGAGCAGCATCGCCTCCTCTGGCAGTGGGGGCAGTGAGCATCTGGAGGAGGCTGGTTTAGGAGGTTCAGGTCTGCATCGCAGTTCCTTCCACGATGAGGGCAGCGGCATGAGGGGTGTGTATGAATGACCAGTGCGCCGTTTGTAGTGCAGTTCACTCCAGTTCACATCCTTAGATGAGATTATGACATTCAGATATTGGGGTTCAAACTTGCCTAACTCGTACCCTCGCACTACTATTAACAACTATAAATACTGCCTTTTACTGCTATTGCAGAGTAGAGTCTACAAGATGTCTTCTTTGTCCATTTTTAACAAAAACTCTACCAAGTTATTACAATTAGGCAAGTTTAACAATGGTCAAATATTTGTGCAAACATTTTTAAATGAAACGCATACCTTTTAACTTAAGAAGGTAAAACATTATTTAAATCCCTTCCTTCAGTGTTCAGTTGTCCTCTTAATAAAAAATGTAAAAATGTATGATTTAAATAGTTTTTTTTTTAATATTCTCGCCGAAGATAGATGCGGACAGTTAAGTGCAGTCTGGAGAGAAGTAGATCGAATGACAGGCATCAAACTTCTCTATTAGACCCAGGTTTCTTACAGGGACAGACATGTGAAGTTTAGTGGAGAAAGGTATATGTGTGTGTGCCTTACAGGTGTTCAGCTAGCGGATCTTGCAAGCTGCAGATCTGTTCAGAGCAGTTTGTCCGGTGGAGTACAGGTCAGAGCTGCGGCCCCAATAAGGCATAGGTGTTTGCTCTCTGAGCTGGAGTTGAACTTTTCAGTTAGCGTCTGTCGTTCTTTTCTGTAAACAATCATTTTCATCTTGTCATGTAGCTAAACAGGAAAGCAAAACATCTTCAAACACCCACAAGAGGACAAGCTCACATTTGTCAATGTCTCTTTCTGAGGAAGAAGGTGACACCATTCTTTAGGTTTTCTCCTGAAGGGTGTCAAGTATCAGGAGGGGAAATAAGGTTGACAGAGCATTACATTCTTAACATATAAATGCAGGCCCATCTGCACATGCTGTGGAGGCGGTACAATTATTGTACAGCCATTATTGTGTAGCAATATGGATTATGCAATATCCAAATTGCAGGAGGATACGTTTTGTTGTGATACAGAGATTGGCTTAGAGATATTCTTTTACAAAAAATCAGCCCGTGAACCATTAAACATGGTTTTCTATGAAAAGAGAATTAAGATGCTCATGCATGATCATTCACTCCAATATCCTCAATTATGTTGCATATACAATATCAGGTCAAATAATCACAATGACTTCTTTCAAATCGCTCAGCCCTTAATCAAATTGGTCTGAATCAAACAACTGTCTAATAATGATCAAATACTAGTTTAAAGTATGTTTTACTTTAGTGGAAGTGCGAGGTCTGGGTCTTTCAATGCCACTCTACATCCCTTCCGGTCAAATGTAATCCTCAGATCAATACAGAGCTTCAGAACAATAAAGGAAACATACAATGACCATGTGTAAATACAGAACACAAAAGAGAAACATGCATTCCTTTCCTAACTCTAAACTCACGTTAGGGAGAAATGTTTAACTCAACATGTAATCAGCTATAATTGACTTGTTGATCCTTTGTCTTTCTAAAAGCTTATATACATCTGATAAATACATTTTTACAGGGGCTCAAGATATACAATATAATGATACATATTTATAAAAAAATATATGTTTGATGATGATTGATTGATGTTGTGATTGAATAATGCATTACGTATTTGGTCCACCGTATTCTGTATGTTAGCATATTTTTGACCGATATATGTGTGTACTTTTAATTTATTCTGTAAGGATTTTAAGGTTGACATCTAAAGATGTACGTCAACACTATTCTATTTTATTTTAAAGTTTTTTGTTTATTATGTATATTTTATGTATGCATCTCTACTCTATAGTGTATTTGTATTTACAACAAAGAAAAAGAATGTATGTTGTATATTGCTTACAGAAGTTATAATGTCAGAATGACAGCTTCCCGATGAAATGATCATATCAGAATAATGGGTCTTCTGCCCCCAGATGTTCCTGCGTGGCTGAAGAGTCTCCGTCTCCATAAGTACGCCGCTCTCTTCTCCACAATGACCTACGATGAGATGATGTCACTGACCGAAGACCAACTTGAGGCACAGGTTTTATATATTTACACACACGCACCCACAGTTAGTTACATCTAAATTGCATCAAATGTAAGAACTTTAATTGGCAATAGTTGTCACAGTAAACTTTCTTTTCTATCCGCTGATGTAAATAGAGAAAACATTTGAATATACTGTATGGTAATACTTGTGTTAAATGCATGGCAGGAGATAAGAGCAGAAACATTTCAGCACTAGTATGAACAAAAAGAAATATCTTTTTAATCTGCCGGTTTTAATCTGGCTTATTATTTAAGGGATGCAATGATGTAACAAGCCAGGTCAAGTTGTTACTGTTGGAGTAAATGATTCTAATGTAGCGATATCTGTGTTTGAACTTAAAGTTTTGTCTGAAACAGAGGATGCAGCTAAAATTAAACACAGCCCACCGGGAAGCTGTATACTTCCTCCAGGTGCTGCTAACTCTTTCTCTATCTGACCCTCACATGATGCTACACACAATGGATTACATTTACTGATATTGGCCTGATCTGGAAATACACAGATTTTCAGTATCCGTTCTTAATGTGACATGTTAGAAGAAGAAGTATCGACATACATTTGATGGAATCGGTGTTAACCATTTCTGCCCTCCCAACCAAAGATGGGCTAATTAGTTATTTCCCTCCAACATTCACTGGCTGCGTCTCCTGCTGTTACATTTTCCGCAAAAACATCTGTCTTCCTGTTGTTGAATGATAACAAGCTGGCCAATTTCAAGAAGCTTTACCCTCCATGTTTGCACACTTCCCATCTCTTTATCTTACACATCAGCTATCAATCTATAGCTCTTTTTACAATGTGCACAGAGATGTTTGACGCAAAACCTTTTCTTCCAACAGAAGGTCACTAAAGGAGCAAGACACAAGATTGTTATCAGCATTCTGAAGCTCAAAGACAGACAGAATCTACTTCGCAGCTTGGAAAAGGTCAGTAACTGTACCACATCATCATCATCTTCTTCTTCATCTTCTCACCAAAAAGATTGCATAAATCTTCTAGTCTTACCCTTCATTATTTGAACTTTGGGGGTTCTGTTGATTCATTTATTTTTAATTGCACTTTTGTGAAGAAGGGTGGCCATTCTGAGTGGGCGTTATTTATCCGAGATCCCGGAAGGAGAATTTTGGGCTCCACATGTAAACCCATCCTCTTCCCCCCACCCCTCAGCCCTCCATTCAGCCTTCAAAGCAAGACAATGGCGCTCAAGGGCAAACCACAGGAGGGACTTCTTGGGCCGGCTAAATTCAGGCTTAACCTTTTCACCAGCGCTTCATTTCAAAATGTGTTACCGCTGCACTGGTAGGGCTGGGGAAACAAGACACCTGTTGCTTGGTATTTTGGGTTTACACAGACTCCGGGTGGGAGGAAGTCTGATATTATGGACACAAGTAGCGAAGGAAAACCGCATGTATGTATTTCTGGTGTTACTTTATTCTCTGCTCTATCACATGGCAGTGTGGATGCTATTCCCATCTGTTCATATTCTTCATGTTGGTCCATAGTAACAGATTTGTCTTGTATGATTGTGTTACATGTTTCCTGTTGTAGTAGAGGTTATTTTCTTCCTTTTCATAACCCTTTCTTCCTCCTCTTCCCTCCTATCGTCTACCACAGGATGTGTTGGAGGGCAGTAATCTGCGCTCGCCCCTACAGGAGCTCCATCAGATGATCATGACGCCTATCAAGGCTTTCAATGGTGGCGAGGAGGCCTCTATGCAGCGGGCCCTGCTGAGCCCTGAAAGCAAGAGCGCAGCGCCGGGCTCCCACCTGACGGGGGTCGGGGGAGGCGGAGGGGAGGCTGAGTCGAGCACAAGCGTCATCGCTGAGGGGGATCTACCCGGCCAGTTCACCCGTGTCATGGGCAAAGGTGAGCTGCATGCACCAGCTCTCAGGTCAGATGGTTTTCATTTACTTAGAAAGATTTGTTTTATCACAACGTCTTATTTCCATCCTTCTCAGTTTGTACCCAACTACTGGTGTCGAGGTCAGACGAGGACAACATCAGCTCCTACCTACAACTCATCGACAAGTGCCTTATACATGAGGTAAGAAATGACCAAATATACATAAATCACATCATATACTAGGAACAGACCGTGCAGGAGGTTTAGTTTCATTCAAGAAAAATCATGAAAGAGGAAATGATTCCTATTGTCCCACACTTCACCTTCACTTACTGGTTACTTATCTAATACCTGTGATTATTTATCGGCAGATTTTGGTGAACATAATAGGTCTACCCTAAATACATCTACATGCATACATTGACATACCTTCCTCGTAACTATATGTCAGAACAGTATTTTTGTGTTTTCTGTCAGAATATTAACATTTTAGCCACACATTAAAATCTTGAAAGAAAAAAATGATATAATTTTTAGAATCTGAGTTTGAGTAAATGATCAGTTGGATTAAGTTTAAATTAATAAATGTGCATTGTGTATTATGATGTTTTGTCAAAGCATAGAGTCCTTTTTTGCAAAGAAATGCACCTGAAAATCCTCAGCAGTCATGCTTCATTTCATCCCTGATTCGTACTCCCTGTTCTCCCCTCCCCCTCCCTGTCAGTCCTTCACTGAGACGCAGAAGAAGAGGCTGTTGTCATGGAAACAACAGGTCCAGAGGCTGTTCCGGTCCATTCCAAGGAAAACTCTCCTCGACATCGCAGGGTACCGAACGCAGAGGAGGTAAATCTCACGGACATGCAGTATCTCTTCTCCTGGGTTATACTGGCTGTGATGAAACACTTTTAATCAAAGTCACTTAAACTTTTATGAAACAATCTGAAAATCAAGGCTGACATACATATGGAAATAAATATTGTGCTGAATGAATTAAATGTGAAAAAAAAGATATTCAAATATAATGAAGTTCACTAATTACATTTATTTCCTTTGTCCACATGTCTGCGATTACAAAAGCAGTATCTGACTAAAAACAGAATAAACGTGAACGACTGTGAGATTACGACCTCCGCTTCAGTAAAGAAAATTAGGATTAACATTTAATCATAAATTCATAAACAAACTTGAGTTTCTCAATGTTCAGCTCATTATTTGTGAACCTTTATGAATGTCTAACTTCTGTGTTTATTACACATCTGCATCTCTTTGTCTCGTCCTGCTGCAGCCGATTCGGCCAGTCTAACTCTCTCCCCACCGCTGGCTGTGTTGGGGGCAGCGTGTCGGCCCGGAGGAGCCTCCGTCAGTTCCAGATGCCCTCCAGGAGCTTGCCGGGTGCCAGGCTGGGCCTGCTGGGCAGCAGTGGGCTGCTGGGACCCACACCCCGCAGCTCCAGCAGCACACCCACCGGTCCCAAGCAGGGCAGACAGGTGGGTTAAACAAGCAGAACATTTAAACCAGGATAGGAGGGATGAGAGGAAACCAGCAGGGAGAAAAGGGACTGTCAGGCAAGAAGGGCAGACAGTATTACAAGTTATATAAAGTTTAAACTTCTCAATCATTCCTGGAAAATGAAACAGTTTATTAGTATATCTTTACATTACAGATTTTGTATATATGACGTCAAAATAGCATGGGAATATGGGATATTATTGTTATATAAGTGAATAGCAAAACCTTTTACGGGTTTCGTTTGAATCCATAGATAATATAATGGATATAATGTTTATAAAATGATGGTAGCCAAAAATTGCAATTTCCTAGAATTTAATATTTCATCTTCAAGTTGTATTTTTATTATGGATTTATGGTCAAAAACTGAAATACTCCCTTTTGAGAAGGTGCAACCAGAAGATTTTTGATAAATGAACAATAAATAGTTTCAGCCATAAATGATGAATGCTTTGGTTCTTACCACACAGAGCTGTGATCTTTGGGAGTATGGGGAACAAACTTGGTTTAAATGCTGAATCATTTTGATATGGTGTGTTATCACTAACTCCAGCATCAGTTGAGGTGATACAATGAGGGTGGGTAGTTCAAGGTACTTTCTACAAGGCCTGTTAATTAAATCTTTCTAATACATAAAACCTTAGCTCCACTAAACCGGACTGCTGAATGGAAGGGGTGTTCGTGACTGTAAAAGGAAAATGTAGAAATGCATAATAACACATTCCAGGATGTTTACAATATCCTGGGCAGCAGAATTCCTCCTTCAGCACGTATTCTTTCTGAAATAGACTTTTGATTCCATGACGAAATAAATGAGGGGTGAGGAAGAGGAGAATGAAGTGAGGTGGATGGAACTTGTAGGCAGGACATCCCACATACCAGAGGCCCTGCGTCAGTGCCGAACACTGAAACAGGAGGAGCTGTTTCAGGCCCATCCTGGCACCCTTCAGTTTGTGCTGACCCAATCCCCCCCCCTTCTCTCTCTCTCTCTCTCCTTCTCTCATCTCTATCTCTATCTACGCTATAGCGTTATATCGATATCATCGAATCGATCTTCTCTCTCTCTCTCTCTCTCTCTCTCTCTTCTCTCTCTCTCTCTCTCTCTCTCTCTTCCTTACGTCCCTTACAATGGGAGGAAATACCTCAGTTCCTCCTCCTCACACTGGACCTTCTTGTGTTGGATGTAGATGTGTAGAGAGAGAGAGAGGAGAAGGATGGTGGGAGGGAAATATGTGAGTCATAGTTTGGGAGAGGTGGCTCTGATGTTGGAGGAGGGGCAATGAGAGAGTGAGAGTGTATATGAGTGCATCTGAGAGAGAGAGAGGCAGTCAGAGGCAGTGAGAACAGTGCACAGGCATTTCCTGTTTTTCCCCCGGCCCGTGGCACTGCAGGGCCGCGGGGGGGTGGGGTCTGAGGGATAGAGGTGAGAGGAGGGGCGTGTGGTAGTGGTGTCGGGGGTATAATAGGCAGGTTACAGTGAGGAATTCATGCGGTGAGCGTCTGAGACTGTCATTAGGTGTGGGCTAGACCTCCAGACAGGAGCGTGGGGGGGGGGGGACATGTTGAAGAAGCTGTGGCCTTTATCCATTCTTGCATATTCCATACACCTCTTTGATCAGTGAACGTAGAAGGAGGAGAATCTGTGATTATTATTTTTGTATTTGTGCATCAAGTTATTATATTGTTATATGTCCTTATAAATTGTCAGTATTTGAATAACCAGAAGATCCACAGATCATAAAACATATGAATTAGAGCATCCTGGTGCACAACTATTGTTAGCGTCCAATCTCAATCAAACTGTATAACAATAGGAAAAGTCAATGTGCAGCATATGCTAATAACTTGCTAACTTCACTACACGGAACTTTTAATAGAGCCCAATGGACCCTAGACAAATTGAAATGTGTGTTGTGCTTGATCTAGCAAGTATTTAGGATGATGTCTATTTTCCCCATAGACATCATCCTAAATCCTTAAACCTCAAAAGTAGTGATAAGGGTGCCATTTTATACAACCTGTTAGTAGGTTTTATTTGTTATCCAAGCACAATTTCTATGTTCATTTTGACGACACAAGCAGAAAATTGTATGTCCTTCTTGTCTGTCTCTTTGAAAACTTTGATTCCGTGAAAGTAGATGGAGAGATCCGAAATGATGATAAGTGTTTAACTTTAGGTTTGACATTAGTCTTGAAGAGCCATTTGCATGTACATGAATCTAACTTCATGTTGTTAAATTGTTGTCCTTAGGGTCTGTGGTTCGCCAACCCCGGGGGAAGCAACAGCATGCCGAGCCGGACCCACAGCTCCGTGCAGAGGACGCGCTCGCTGCCCGTTCACACCTCCCCACAAACCATGGTCATGTTCCAACAATCCGGTATGAAATTAATGAAAACATGCTGAACATTTTTATTTATTGTAGTTTTTATATAGTTATATAAACTGTCTAAATATTTCCATTGCAACACCACAACTTTTTTCTTCCTTTTTAACACTAACTAACATTAAGGAGTGTTTCCATAATGTATTAATGTTATATCAGTTCGATCATGCTTTTGAAGATTTGGATGACATCACTGACCTTAACCGCAAGCATTAAAGTTCTCTATAGGGCAGTGGTTCTCAAAGTGGGGGGCGCAGAGGCATGACAGGGGGGGCGCGAGAGACCAGGAGGAAAAATGGTTATAATTTTCTTTTTTTAAAGAACGATAAAAAAAAATCATAATTTGAAAGGTTATTGATTCGAAAATAATATGATACAGTACAGTACTGTTACGTCTGGGTCTCTGTGTTTCATTAAAGCTCGGCTCTGTGTGTGTGTGGAACGAGCCATTTTGTGTGCGTGCGCGAGCGAGAGAGAGAGCGCACCGGTACCGGAGATCGTTGTTGTTAGCTTCTGGTGCTAGCGAGCTACGCTAACGGATATAAGGAGTTTTTTCAACAACAAAGTGGAGGAGAGTCCTCTCCTGTCAGACTGAGAGGCTCAGTGAGCTAAAGGACTCTCTCAGTGTTATCTCAGTGGGTCTCAAACGTTTTGGTCACCATTAATGTAAACAATTATTTCACACGTTTATATGATCATTATAGTTATAAAAAAATAAGAGAATAAATGAAAAACAGGAATGAAATACTATATGACAGTAAAAAAAGAATAAAGTTTAAAAGGGTGATTAGTAAAATATCCATAAAGAAAAAGTAAATCTGTTTACAGTTCTGTTTCATATGGGTGTTGAGAGATGTATCCATAGATCTCTTCATTTTGCTCTCAAAGTGCACCAGATTGATGCATTTAACTTCAATATTTAAAAGTAAATCTTCCCGGGGGAGCTTGCCCCCGGACCCCCCTATGTGAGGTCCACACACCGTATATAAAAATAGCACTTTACCCTGCTTACACCTATATGCCGTGAGCTGATTATGGAGCCTTCATTGTAACAGTCGCGGGTACATTGTGTATTTGCGTGGGGAGTGTTGCAGTAGACAATTCCACTGTAGCGACCGGTACATTAATGGGAAACCCTAAATGTTTGAGCACCCTCTATGAAACGTCAAGCTACCCCACAGCACCCCCAAAATAAATCTCTGGCGCCGCCACTGAGCCTGACTATTTGTGTTGGGGGGGCCCGATTTTTTTCTCCAAAGGAGGGGCCTGACAGAAAAAGTTTGAGAACCACTGCTGTAGGGGCTTCTGGTTGTTAAATGTATGTAAATATTCACATTAAGGCGAACCCATTTTAGTGTCCTTTCTGCAGGTTAGGGCTGACAATGTAGGTACTACACGTTTATGATTAATCATTCATTTATAATTACTTTCATGAATGGAATTGTAGTTCATTGTAGAATTGTAAATTTAACTAGAGAATGCAATTCCTGAAGAAATTGCTAGTGGGAATGCTTTATGCTGAAAAGCTGATGCTGAATTGCTATGCTGAAATGTAATGTGTAAGAAGAAAGTGAAGAATTTAGATTGAAATGATACATGAACACTGGGGGCTTGAATGTGTGATGAGAGAAGAAAAGAAAGTAAAAAGGCTTGGAAAAGCAGCAGAATATTTGAACTGCAAACTTTTGAACTAACTTGATGGCGAATGATCTGTCGCCATGGCAACGGCATTTGATGACACCCCATAATACCCTTATGCTGCGTTCACACCGGACGCAATGCGAATATTCGCTTCGCTCTAATCGCTCCTATCGCATCGCTCTAAACGCTCGAGTTTCACCGCGGCTGCCAGCTGTGTTTACTCGCATCATTCAAACAAGACACGCTGGCTCGGGAGCTAGAACTACAACAAAATGAACATATTTTACCGTGATTTAATTGTAATACACGTTTCTCAATGATGCCGAAGTAACAACATACTGATACCGGTTAGTAAAAACCATGAATTAATGCTTTGACAAGTCTGCAGACAAGACGGCAGGCAAAACACCTTTTAAAATGCTTGTTTTCTGAATGAAGATCGGGTTGACCAGGCTAAGCTAACGTTGTATATGCTCATTCCACACTCATAACAACGGCCTACAGACATAAATAAACCAGCGACTGTATTCGCCATGACACAGACAGTCTGTGGTTTGTACTTGTTTAACTTTTGTCCAGTTTCTGAACAGATATGAGGAGCTGTGAGCTCTGTGTGCTAACTGCTAACAGCTAACGGCTGATGTTGTGTGGTTGAACGTCAGTGACGCCAGGCTGAGATCCTCACCGCTGATTGGCTTCCGCGAGAACGCGTCACGTGAATTTGATGCTCGAGTTGAAAAAATTGAACTCTCGCGTTTAACGCGGCACCGTTCAATCGCCTCAATCGCGTGATTCGCGCCGCGTCCACCGCTTCATGCTCGCCGTCGGAGCGAATTCGCGTCTGTCCGCGTCTCTGCATTGACTTTACATGTAATCGCGCCGCCCCCAAAACATCGCATCGCGTCCGGTGTGAACGCAGCATTAGATGC